CCCCAAAACCCCAAACCCCCAAAACCCCAAAACCCCACTATTTAATATTCAATTTTGACGTTGAGTTAAAATTAATATATATCTAATTATTATAATTATCTTCAATAGACGATATATTTATATGCGTTGAGACTATGTTTTTCTCAAATCTTTCTATGATTGTGTATCTGAGGTGTTGCATTTTATTCCATATCATACTGATTCTGTTAATCGAATCTACGTAGTTCAATTTCTTCTTCCTCCCTATCTAGTTCCACTTATCTATCGAGCTCTTTCTTTGCCTTGTAACTTATGACGAATCCCACAATGAAGGCTATGAGAATCTCTGCCATAAGAAAGTAGAATTAGAACTAGGCATTAGGACTCTTGCCGCCTTCAGCCATATTTTAGTCTCTGATCTGCTTAAAGTGATCGATTGATTGGCCAATATAGAGCCAAAGAGCAATATGGATTGAAACGATTAAGCTGCCCATAACGAAGTCTCTCACTCTTAAATTTGTCAAGCCAAGTAGGTAGGATACAACTGAGAAGGGGAAGGGGGTCAGTCTGAGCAGGAAAACTGTTTTCCAACCGTCTTTGGTAATAACATGATTTATCGCTATGAAAGATCTGTGCTTAGCTAGACAACGCTTTTTAATAGTCTTGGAAAGCCAGTGTCTTGAAAGCAATAAAGCTATGACACCTCCAAATATAACTGAAAATGTGATCATAGTAAGGCCGAATGCAAACGCAAGATAGCGAGATTCGAATGCTTAAGAAAAAGCAAAGCCAAGAGCAATAGTCATATATAAGATAGGGAATGCAAATACAACTAGGCACACATAGATTCCAAATATGGCAAGTCCAGAAAGCAATGGCTCTATCTTGACCCATTCAACAAACTAATTAAACTAATCCACTATCTGGTTTCTGTCATATGCGGCAAATATGACGAGGAATATGATGAACAGGATGAAAATTATCTATGGAATTAGTTCAAGCCAAGATTAAGAGTCTTAATCATGGATGCCATCCCTATTATGAGCTCTGTCATTTGCTAAGCTTACTGAGTTGCTGGACATTGCTGAGCTTTTCTGGTCACTTGCAAACTACTTCTTATTTTTAGTGTTTTGATTTCGTTCAGTCATTTTGAATAAATTATATAACTACTAAAATTTAATCAAAGAGAACATTGGGGTTTTGGGGTTTTGGGGTTTTGGGGTTTTGGGG